AAGGACCTTCCCCAAACTGTTCCCACAAAGTTGGAAGCATAAAATTGTCCAACATGTCTGGGTTTGCTGAAGCAGTAAGAGTTCTCTTCACTGGAACTAGGGGGCCTAGTGCAACCCTGGAAATACACCCCCATACCATTATCCTTCCTCCACCAAACTGCAGCTCACATTATTCACAGTGAGAAAACATCAGTTCTCAGTATGACTTGGGTACGGCTTGGTTCCCGGTGGCAGTGGAAAACCGGCATAATTTTTTCGGCCCCCTCCCATCAATATCCTGCTTATTCAGCTAAGCATATCATATAGGATACAACCAGACAGTAATCTGTTACTAACCTAGTAGAGTTATCAAAACATTGCTCAATATGATATGGTTTAATTTTTCATTTTGAATTTTGTGTAATTATTCTTATTTATTTTTCTAATGACTTTTGTCTGGCAGCCCTTGCTCCAATCGGGCCCTAGGCCTTGGTTTGCCCCTGCCTGGATCCATCCCCTGAGGGCCTCCTTTCATCCAGGAGTTCGCAGGCTGATCTGTATTGACCCATCACACTCAGACAAGCTGGCAGCAGAGTGATCCATAGACAGCTGATCCTGACACGGCAGTGTATGGAAATCCAGTGGCCTGGGACCACCCTACGCAACTGTGGTAACCTCACGCCTTCCCTGGTCAATCTCATGCCTCATTCAGATTCCATGTTTACTACAGCAAAGTTCAATCGTTTAACGACAGCAGGTAGCAAAATTAGGGTCGGGTGCAATACCTAAAAGGGGCGCATTTCCACTGCCTTACAGGAACCAAGCCGAACCTGAGCCGTACCGCAAAGAGAGACTAGTTACAGTGCAGTTCCAGCTCAATTTGGTTTTTCACTGCAGAAGGGTCAGCTCGGGGTTTCCAGAGCGACAGTGACATAAAACCAAAAAGATGCTTATTTAATGTTCACACAGCGTACATCACGATGTACTGTGTGCTAAATTCCGCTAACGCGTCTGGTAGAATCACCGTGTTACGCTAGGGGAATTAGCATTAGCTTCAGTAAATTTGCTTTAGGAATATTAGGATTTAGGATTTTACTAATATTTAGGATATTACTAATAATGTATAATACATAGAATATGCCCTCTTTTCTGTCAGATAATCCATGCATATCAATGCAGTTCACCAGTATCTCAGTGCATTTCAACCAAACAGATGGTAGCTGACGCGAGCCGCTCGGTTCGGACACGCTTTTGGCCCTGCTAGCAGGGAACGGCTCGGGTACAGCTCGGGTACAGCTCGGGTTCGCTGTTGGCCCTGCTAGCAAGGAACGGCTTGGGTACAGCTCGGGTTCGCTGTTGGCCCTGCTAGCAAGGAACGACTCGGGTACAGCTCGGGTACAGCTCGGGTTCGCTGTTGGCCCTGCTAGCAGGGAACGGCTCGGGTACAGCTCGGGTTCGCTGTTGGCCCTGCTAGCAGGGTACGGCTCGGGTACGTCTAAGATAATTTACAGTGCAAAACTGTCAGTTCTCAGTAAGACTCGGGTACAGCTCAGTTCTTGGTGGCAGTGAGAAACTGCCGAAAGTAACTTTTTTCATTAAAGGCATCAGCTGAGCAATTTGACGCAAATGGCCCCTTAAAGACTTTTCTCTCCTTTATCAGCTGTACTTACAACGCCAAGATAATTAAGAAGTAACAGTGATGTCTGACGTGTTTACCAACAGGGTACCTTACTCTGTACTCTGATAAAGTTCACATGAATTAATTTCCTCTTTTTATTAGCTGATTAGCAATGCAGCATGTGTGCCTCATTTTATTTCTCATTATTTTAAAAATTTACAATAAATAGGAAAATTGAATTTTGCTCAATGAGCTTCCATATCTAGTGTGCGCAGGTATCCTGCAAACAGTGTGACTGATTTTTATTTTTTGATAAGATCGGTGCTGTTGTGGTCCTCTTGATGAGCTTTAATTATGATTAATATAACGCGGTTACGTGCAGCGATTCCTATCGTCTTCTGGTGGAATTTAAGCCACCGTTATTTGTAGGAATTAAAAATGGATTCCTGGGCGGCTGACCTTTCTAACTCCGTGTACGTGAATTTGTGTGTGTGTGTGTGTGTGTGTGTGTGTGTGTGTGTGTGTGTGCGTGGTCGGCCGCAAGTTTTGCTGCAGGTCAGAATCGGTACAGGGTGGTCACAAAGCCACAGCACACCCACGATCTCAGGAGGGTTCCAAGAGAGGAAAAAAAAGCATAACCAGAATACTTCGCTTGTGCAACGCTGCCCCCTGCTGACAGCTCAGGAGAAACCACACACCCACCCTGCCAGCCCGACAGCGGCCTGACAAATCCCCTTACACAGTCCCCGAAAGATGTTTACAAATAAACCCAGGCCAAGTAGGCATGAATTACTGTCCTGTGGAAGGTACCACCCCGTGCTGGGCCCGGACCGAATCTGTCAGAAATTTTGTTTGTTTTTCTGACAGACTGAGACGCGTCTCATCTTCCAAACAGGGGAAAGTGGCGCTTTTCCCAAATACCTGCACAGTTTATAATGCAGTGAAATAGCATAACGTTTCTTTTATCGTTTATCTTTCAGTAGTTCTTGTGGAATTGCTTTGCTTCACCTTCAGAGGGTCTCTCTCTCATTCTCTCTCTCTCTCACTCTCTCTCTCTCTCTCTCTCTCTCTCTTTCCCTACCCCCTCCTGCTCTCTGCCCTTTTAAATTTGCGAGCCCTGAATGTCACTTGTCATTGGCTGGTTGTCTGTAAGGGGCGCAGGATGTCGGGAGAATCCGAATGCCTTTCAGCTCCATGGTAAGTGGTGCATTGCTGCAAAACTGCAAACAAGGTGTGGTTAGGGGGTGGGGGGGGGGGCGCAACAGCTCCGACTGTTGCTAGGAAACACTTGTGGCATCTTGCCGCTCCCTTACTCTCACTGAACACAGCAGCGCAGAGCTGCATAAGAAAGTGGAAGAGAAGTGAAATGTCATCAGATTCTCGTGGGACTCCTGGAAATGTGCACGCGCCCATTTAAGGGCAAACGAGTCAACACACCCATTTTACCAAAAGGGAAAGATAATATTTCTTTTTTCTCGGTGAAAGTTCCAACTGTGTCCCTTTTTCATGCACATATCTAAGTCCTTGCTCTACAGTTCATCAGTTCAGCAAACATAATCCCTGTAAAAGATGTTGTTTTATCTAAGCTGATGGCTGAAATGTCTGTCTGTCTTTGCCTCCAGACTCGCTCGCACATTAAAATTCATAGAGTACCGCATTACCAACCAGTGCCCCGACTTTCCATCCAAACTCCTGGGATTCTGGGAGAAAAAAGCTACACTGTATCCCTGTCAGTTATTCTGTTCACAAACTGCAGGCCAGACCCCTACAAATGGGATTTGTCGATCCAAAGCATCTGGCTTCTGTTCCTTACGATGTTTCGAACGGCATCGCTGTCACACTTTGGTGTTATTTCACGTCGCCGTCTGCCCATCGCCATGCTTGCAGTCCGCGGTACACAAAATCGTGTGGACTTAGCCGGCACTGACACGAACGGGCTCAGAAGCGCAACAGACGAGCACCCCATGGTTACCTGAGTGAGAAAACATGGTCTGATGGTGACACTTTTGGGTCACGGTAGGATATTATTAGCGTCGGTTGAATGGTGAGCGATGCTGATTGCCAATCTTTAAAGGTCACTGTAAATTGACAAAACTCAACTCATGCACCCAGCATGAAATCTCTCTAACACAATAGACCAAATTTGATGACTACCTTCCAGTTAGCGGTGACCAGAGAACAGGAACCACAGGTGCGCATGAGTTTAGAACATACAGAAGACACTTCTTACCATGAACTGTAGGGGTAGGCTTAGGATAATCCCCACAGTCATGGAACTAACACGCAGTCGTTAGGTCCGGCAGTGTTAGATATTTAAACAACGCTTAGATGGTCAGACAGATTTGCTTTACTCATTATGCTGCTGCTGGATTCACGCTGTTGTCCAACAAAAACAAGAACCTGAGTCCGATAAAATTCAAAGTCCTGAGGAAAAGGCAGGTTTTGTCTTGTGCGACGCCCTGTGATTACGGTCAATACTGAGCAAACAGGCTGACATGGTCTGAGAGGAGACAGCCTGCCTCACGCCTGGTTACCAATGTGACAAAAGGGACACACAGACGCCCATCAATTGTCCTTATTGTTCTGTTTTCCTGAGGGTTAGGGTTAGGTTTAGGGTTAGGGTTAGGGTTAGGGTTGCTATTGGAGTTATACAATACAGACGCTCCTCTACTTACGAACGAGATACGTTCCGACCGGCCGTTTGTAACTTGAAATGTTCGTAAGTCATTATTTAACCTCATTTTAAGGGTATACGCAAGTACAAAGAACTAGGATGCTGGGAGTACGCACGCTACGCTGCAGCACGGCAAGAGTAGCGGCCAGAAGTCGTACTAGGCAGAATTGGTGCGCAGAAAAAAAAATTGATGTTGCGGACAGGAAACGGGAGCCCAATGAACAGAAGTTTGGACTTACAGTCCTCTTCGTTCGTATGTCTGAAAGTTCGTAAGTAGAGGTACTTACATTATGACACTCCTTAGAATGTATGTGCCCTTACAGCGCAATGGCCCATAAAGCATAGCTGCCCTTATAATATAATACTTACAGTATTTAAGTCTTTATAGTTCAGCGATTCTTACAGTATGACTGTCATTACTAAGCATCTATACCATTCTTTTTCAGCTCCATATCACCATTCAGCTTGATTTCAGTTTATCAAGTTGGCGATACATTATTTCACAGTAATTATATTTCTGACGTATCACGTTTCAGTTACACTTAAACAAGAGTACTGTGTGCGCAGAACCAGAATTTTTAGATTTTTTTTTTTTCTGTGGCCTTTGAAAAGAAGCCTTTTAGTAGAAAACCCTGGATATTTGTCTTGAAACGCCAATATCAATATTGACTCAGGAGAAAGATCCAGCGGCCCAAGGGGGGGGCACATTCAGGCCGGATCGGACCTGGATCCCAACAGCCGGACCATTGTGCTTCTCCACAAGCATTTCTGACTAGACGCTCCGGTCCGGTAAGGAAGCTGTTTCGTTTAACGGCGGCTTTGAAATCGCGGACCGACTGACAGCTCTGTAAGGCCTTGCGACGCTCCCAATCCATCAGCATGCAAATATCTTCTCAGAAATTCTGACATAAAAGCGAGTATTATTAATATTATTACTGCCTATTACTTTCTAATGCCTATTTGCACTGACATTCCTACCTGTAAGTCAATTTGTATAGTTGCTGAACATATTTATTTAGAATTTCCGCTGCTATTCTCATTTGCATCTTGTGTACACAGCTTTTTCGGGATAATATCTGCACTTTATCCTATAGTCCTGACTTTTTAATTTTAGCAGTCTTAATATTTTCCTCACTCAGGTTGATGTGATTGACATTCCTGTCTGTCTTTCCATTTCTGTTGCACTGATCATTTCACTGGCACAAGAATTTCCTTCCAGATCAATGAAGCTCTTTCTTATCGTTTTTCTCTCTTTCCTTCTTTCCAGTTGATGGGTAAGCTTTAGGAAGACTGCAAAAAAAAACGTGCCGTTTTGTTTTTACATGTTGCAGGGTGTATCCTTCTGACGGGCAGAATGTCCCTGAAGTTGATTCTAATTTTTATGATTTCAGCCTCCGGTAAGTAAATGTGTCATAGCCAACATTACCATTGTAGGTTTGGTGAATATGCTTATAGTTACATACTAGCTTTACAATGTATGAATGCACCAATTAGTAATATAAACTGGTTATAGTCACAAGTGTGGAAAACTGTATGTAGAAAAAATATTTTAAATGGTTATTAGCAGAGGTGGATGGTCCAGGTCCAGAGAGTATAAATCCAGACCAAGACTTTGTTTCAACTAAACAGTTGAGTATAAAGAGTGAAAGTCACAGAGTACTCAACTGTTTAGTTGAAACAAAGTCTTGGTCTGGATTTGTACTCTCTGGACCTGGACCATCCACCTCTGGTGGATTTCTGACCCTTTGCCTATGATTGTAAGTCTGTAAAGAAATTTGGACAGTATATGCATGGTAAGTACCGCTCTACCATATTAGCAAATGAACCCTGGTTTTATTTTTTTTAAATATCTTGGCTTTGCTTTCAGTTGGGAAAAAAAACGTGCAAGAACGGAATAGCTATCATTATTACAAAGGAGGCCCTGTGCTGTTGTGTCCACAGAATTTGCTCAGATTAGCCACGCTAAGGTAACTTATTAGGAACAATTCATCCAAATTTTTCAGTCGTCATGGTAATGCAGGTCCCAGGAATAGCCACTGACCGTGAGACGCGATTAATCCACAGTGATACGCAGCTCATTTCAATTATGGCTACCAGCTCCCGGTGAAAAGCACCGTGATTGAAATTCACGAGCCGCACGCGGCGGTAATGTAGTTAATGAAAATCAAACACAACGTTATTTTAGGCTGGACGTGAGCAACCAATCCAAAGCTTATCTAGACCAAGGGGCATGTATGCCCATGTAATTCATACATCCCTCCATCCATACCGCTTAACCAGGTCAGGACAGGAACATGTTTAGATGATTACAGTTCGCCTTATTATTTTAATGAGGTAAATAGATCTTCGTACGCTGCACTTTGCTTAATTTGCCGACACCGAGAGGTGAGACCTTTGGTCTTTCTCCAGCTTTAGGTGTCGCTCTTGAGAGCGAGAGGAAAGACGGCAGCGAACCAAGGAGGCCCCAAAAGGGCAAAGAAGATGAGAAGGTTGGGAAAGAAGTGACCAGGAGCAGCAGTAGCTCCAAGCCGAACCGGGATGGCAGTGGGACATCATCCAGGCAGAGTGGGTGGGGGTATGATGCGGCCTGTACCAGTATCGGAGGAATTTGCCAACTCAGTAGATACATCTGCCAGGGGAGATACCTGAGAAACAAGTGTGCTGGTCCCAGGGTGAGACGTTGCTGTCTGCCAGGTGACGACCTTCAGAGTTCTCCTCTTCGTTGTCCTGTTTTATTGGATGGGAACAGTCTGCATGTGCCTAGATGTCAGTTCTCCCCATTTAGTTCTGTAGCAAGGAGCCTCTGGAACAGGGGTGGAAATTTCAGGTCCAGTAAGTACAAATCCAGACCAATGGTTTTGTTTCAACCAGCCAGTTAAGTATAAAGAGTTACAGTGACAGAGTGCTCAACTGGTTGGTTGGAACAAAATCTTGGTCTGGATTTGTACTTACTGGACCTGAAATTTCCACCTCTGCTCTGGAATCAATTTGCATACATGGGCAGGGTAATCGGCTCTTCGATGTTGACATGTGCCCCCCCCCACCCAGGTCCCGGTGCCTGGCGTCCCCTGTGTGCCAGTCACCATCAGAACAGAATAAGGGGCTGTGACAGGTTCGGCTGTGGAGCTTTCAACTCTGAGAGGTAACCTCCAGATACGTGCTGCCCCCTTGTGGGGTGGAGGTCCAAGGTTATATATTTGTTTAGCTAAAAAAGTGCCCCTTTTCTGAGTCTCTAAGTTCTATTTCCGAAAATTTACCTAGGTGACCCCTCCAAGGTCAGCAAAATTTATCCTCACTGTCCTCAACCCCCCACTTTCAAGCACCTGTCCCTCAAAATGTCTGTGCACAACATTGCCCCTAAAAAGCACTATTCAGAGAGCTGTGCAAGACTCATATGTGATTAAGTCCTGGGCATTCTGTCTAAGGACGACTTTATGTTTACAAAAAGCATAAGTACTAATATCAGCCTCACTTTCAAGTAAACATACACCACCTGTCAGAAATGTTTGCACAACACAGGTTTTTAAGCATTTTTCCATTTATTTCATAAACTGCGGATTTTTTATTCTTGTTATGCTTTGTAAAGTTGAGTGAACAACTATAAATGAAAATATAAGTGAAATAAAACAAGTTTCCTTTATAACATGGAAAGAGTATGTAACAGTGCATGTCTGATGTCCTATTAATTTTCTTGCTAATTAAGGTACTCAAATGGAGAACATACCTTAAATTTATTTGTTAGCAAAGAATATTGAGTATATTTTTAGTAAATGTTAAGTGAGTGCCATGCAGGTGTAGGAAATCCCAGTGTGTGCAAAAACTTTTGACTGGTAGCGTACAGGGAGACAGAATGAAGTGTCTGTGGTAAGCAGGGAGGCCGGAACGTTGTTCCAGGGAGAGGTATGCCCGTCTGTGTCCGGAACACCAGCCGAAACTGCATCCCCCCCTTTCGCAGAGCTGGGAGCACCCACAAGGCCGTGGACGTCGTGTGTGACGACTACGCCGCCATCAACGCCCCCTTCTCTGGCACCCTGGGGGGGCCAGTCAGCCGCAGGCAGGGAGATGCCGTCCACTATGATGGCGTTAAGCTCTATAATTCAGGTCGGAGCTGTGAAATCGGCGCCTGCCATTTGCTCACTGAGCTGTACGGAATAGAGCTTTGCGCTCTTACACTCGCTGTAGCACTTAATAGATTATAGGATATATCTGTTACTTAAAAACCTCACAGCTGTATTCATAGTATTGCCTTTCTATCACTGCTGAATTGGCACTGGGTGGCGTTTAAAGGGATTAAGGTGAATGTATAGGGGAGCGTCGAGGTTAGGATGAACTATGCCAACCACACGTGGACCAAACTGAAGCCGGGCATTTGTCAGGTAGGGCTGTCACTGAGACCATGATCTGCACATTAGCCTCTGTTAGCTTCTGATGTGGACACACGTGAATAAGACAGCGTTTGGTAGAGAGCATGCCCAGAACTTTAATGGTGAACCAAGGAGGACCATATGTGGAATCACTAAGCTCCATCTCTGTCTCGGCTTTTAACCTCAAACCGTTAAAAGTTTGAGGTGCCTTGCTGAAGCCAAAGGTTTCGCACCTAAATTAAAAATGCCTTTTCCTTAATGAATAGAGATGGAGCAACAACAAAAAAAGATACAACGGTAGTTATTTGCAGTTTTGGCAAAAGTTTTAATTACTATTTTAATGTGTTGTGAAAAAGTCTCATTAAAAGAAATGCTGCTTGTAGACAGATGTGGCTGTAGAAGGCTTTGAACGGCGTTGTCCTAATTCCACATTCTTATCCACCCCAGCGATGGTCTATTGGGCTCTTTCTTCTCTTATCAGTGTTTTAATGTTCCCTGAAAGCTAAAATATTAGCATATTTCATGCTTATGCCCCTTTGTCATTGTGTCATGTGACTTTTGGTAGGCTAGCGTATAGCCCGACACTTTAAAATACAAAGCAAATTTAACATAAAGTACAAACATTCAGGGTGTTTATCAAGCCGACTTGACCATTCTTGTCTTGTGTCCCTGGATCTCATTCTCGCCCAACCCCAAATATTGAGGATGCATCAGTTGCATCCTTGCCAACAAGAATAATCCCATGATTCATTACGGCCCAAGTTTAGTCTTGGGAGGCAAGTTAGCAAGAACACAAACTGCGTTCTTGGTATTGATAATCACCCTCAGTCTTATGTTCATGACATTAACAAATGATTTCATCCATTTCAAATGATCAGAGATTCCATGTGCAATAAACCACCATAAATACAACTTGTCGTTGACATACCGATGAACGACTAGGTATGTTCTTCCCTGTTTTTCCCTTCACTAAAGAGTCTTGTGTGAAGATCTTCAACATCCGGCCATACCGTTACGTGGGCCACATCTCCAAGGGGGAAGCCATGGGCTACCTACTGCCCCTGCAGGAGCGCTTCTCTGGAATCACCTCCCACCTGGAGCTGCAGATGTGTGACCATTCGAACCCTACACCCTTCATATAGGCCCCTCCCTCACAGCAATGCCCTTACGTTTTAGCTGCGACTCATTGCTGGCTCTCACCTATCAGCTGTGTCCGTCTCCAGTTGCACCAAAGCCTCCAGGAGCCAACCGGGGCTGTAAAATCCGGCCTGAAATTACGGCGCCTGATCGGAATTGCAGCGCTGTACCACAACGTACCACAAGGTGGTGACGGTCCGCAAATTATAAAGCTGGCTTTGTTTGTTAGCTTGAAGGGGTGTTCGTCGAACATGTGTTTCCTGTTTATCTGATTACCGTGGCCTGTACTACGAAGGGGGTTTAACCAAATCAGACTTAACCCCGAGGTAATTTGCGAACACGAGGTTAACAAAATCATGTTGACTCCATCGGGGCTAATCAGTACTACGACGCCAGTTAAGAAGTTGATTTGTTAAATCGGTGTTAACTGCATTGGAGTTTGTGCGCGT